TATATTTATAAACAATAATACATATGGTCTTTAACTTTACATACATGTACCACACTGTACATATCCTCTGATAGTTTTTCTTACTTTTGCTTATCATTATTGTGGGGATCTATCCACGTCATCTAGATAGCCTAGATGTTTTTTAAGACGATGTTTTTTGTGGTTTTTTTTTTTGGTACCTGGGATCAAACTTGGGACCTTGCGCTTGCAAGGCAAGCGCCGGAACCACTGAGCTCAATCCCCTGCCCAAGCTGATGTTTTTTAAGCAGCACAATTCAAGTCTCCTTTCTCCTATGGAAGTGTGTTTAGGTTGGGTGTGTACACATCTTTGTGAGTGTAGACTCTGCGGCAGTGAACACCCTGCTCAGCTGGCTTTGCATGCGGGTGAACGTCCCAGAGGGGACGGGCCTGGGGGTGCTGCCTAGGGCTGCAGTTGCAGGGCCAGGGGAAGACCGTTGCCACATTTTATAGGTAGTTCTACGTTTTCTCTGAAGTGATTCCCCGTTTGTCCTTCTAACAGCACAATGGGAATCCCAACTGCTCTGCATCCTTCCCCTTCTGATGGTTGGAGAACCACTGTGGTTTTGTTTTTGGCTTGCCTGGTGACCAGTGAGGCTTTTCTTCTGTTCACCGGGCAAGGGGCTGTCTTTGTGAGAATGGCCTTTTCATGTCATTATCTGTTGTCACCAGATTGTGGTCTATTTCTTATTAACTACTTAGCATTTGGAGTTGCTTTAACTACTTTTTTTTGTACTGGAGATTGAACTCGTCCTTGTGCTTGCAGGGCAGGCAGCGGAACCACTGAGGTAAATCCCTGGCCCTTAACCATTCTTGATCTCAGGATTTCCATATGGATTTGAGGAACAGCTCATTGGAGTTCATGAAAGCCCTGTTAGGCTTTGATTTAATTTATAGATCAATTAGAAGATATTTGGCATTGCTACAATATTGTAACTCAGTAAGCAGGAACACAGTTTCTTTGTTGAGTTTTCTTTTGTGTTTTGCAGCAAAGTTCATAATTTTCTGCATAATGTTAATGTATATATTTCATGTTATTTATTTTCCTCCTCACTAATTGTTCCTTTACTAACAGGGTCATTGTAAAGATTGATTTTCTGGGCGGGGGGTGTAGCTCAGTGGTAAAGCAGGCTTGACTAGCATGCGTGAGGCCCCCACATGCTATTTTCATCCTGGAAAATAAAGTTTCCTGCATCATCTTCTTATATTTCCTCGCCTCACTGTGCGGGCCTGGGCATCTGGTGCTGTGTGGATGAGCGGAGATGACACCGAACATGCTGGCCTTGTGCTGTTTTTAGAGAGTGTTTTGCATCTTACCCCATGGAAAGCTGGCTCTGCTTCTCGGGCTGAAGATGTTCCTTTCTCTTTGCTTGCCACCAAAATGTTTTTGTTTGCTTTTAAAAAAATAAATGGATGCGGTGGCTTTTATCCAAAGCCTCTTCTTCTTTGCATTATAATTCAGTCATTTTAAAAAATTTATCTGATTAATTATTTGCAGTGCTGGGGATGGAAGCAGGGCCAAGCCCATGCTGGGCAGGGTTCTGCCCCTGAGCTTCCCATCCAGCCTTGAGTCAGTCATCCTTAAAACAAACTATAAGCGGTGACATCTGTAATCCCAGCACTCTGGAGGCTGAGGCATGAGGATCACTGGGAGTTTGAGGCCAGTCTGGGCTACATAGTGAGTTCAAGACCAGCCTGAAATACATAGTGAGACCAAAACCTATAAGCAAAACCCAAAACCCATAAGCTTATATAATTAACTAGAATTGTATCTTCCTGATGCATTGAAACCTTTATCACTCTTTTATGTGCTTTATTGTTAATAATGATGTTTATCTTAAAGTCTGATCGGTCTAATATAGTAAGCTTCCCCTTGGTTATAATTTACCTTTCCCTTGCAGTCTTTGTGTCTTTATATTTTAGACTTGTCCCTTAAACACAGCTAGATTATTTTAACTTTGATTACATTAATGCAGATGACTTGAACCTTGTTAGATTAGTAGGTAATCCCTTTTGATTTCTTCTTGATCTCTGGGTTTATTATTATTTTATTTTACACTATTTGTCCTGTTTTTTCCCACTTTTCTCCTACATGTACGTATATATCTTTATTTCCTGTCCCCTGAAAACATATGTTTAATTTTATTTAACTATTCTTTCTTAAAATTTTACTATATAGCCTTGCCTTAAAAAGACTACAGTTATTACTTTTTTATTTCTTTTGAGGAATGCAAGGACATTAATACCTATACTTTTATGTCCATTCCTGCCTCCGTATCCTGTGTGCTACTGCTGTCTGGTATTTAGGTTCCATCTTATTCTTTTTGTCATTGCTGTTGCTCTGCCATCGTTATTATTTTATTGTTTTCTGCCTATTCATATTTGCACCCATATTTACCGATTTCTTTGTTAACCTTTCCTTCTGGCATCTTCTTTCTGAGTTTCATTTCCTTCTTCCTGAAATATCCTATTTAAGTAGTTCTTCCAGGAAGAACTGCTAATGGTAAATCTTTTGGTTTTTGGCGGGAGGTGGTGGGGGGGAGAAAGAAAAAAGAAAGAAAGAAAAGAAAAGAAAGAAAAAGCCTGTAATTCCCCACTCTGAGTGATGATCGCTACACAGACCAGACCTCTCCTCCACAGCCCTCTGGTCTCATCTTTGGTTTCCCTTCTAGTCTGCCAGCGCCTGCCCCAGCCATGGGTCCTGAGGGCGATGGCCCAGGAGTGGCTCTGACAGCTGGCAGGTGTAGGTGTAGAAACTCTCAGTCGCTTGAGGTTGTGGGGCTATCTGAGGCTGGTGTCGTGACTTCTCCCTGCCTGCCCAGGGCCGTGTCATTTGCCCGGCTGGTGGAGGCTTCATAAACATCTTGGCAGCTTTCCTTTCCCGTATCACATTTCCCCTTCTCTGCCTCCCTTTCCTGCCACGCCCCGCCCCACGAGTAATTATCTGCACGAAAGCACTCAGGGTCCGGTCTGGGGCACTCAGTGGAGCGGTGGAGCTCTCCAGCGATGGACTCTAGCACTTCTTTCTCATCCTACCAGCTTTCGGAATTTACCTCTCATTCTCAGGCTCCTTATTTCTTTGAGTATTTTCCTTGAATTTATTTTCAACAAAATTTTCTCCAGAAATTTTTGTTTCAAATTCAACCTTTTCAATGAATTTACTATAAATTTTCATTTCTAAAAAAATTTTTAAGTCTCCCTGTTCTTATTTCCAATTCTTGGTTTTTAGTCCATTATAATTTTCAACACTTACTTGTTTCTTTCATCATTTTATTACCTGAATTCTCAGTTCTGCTTTTTATTGTGATGCTTATTGCTCATGGTGGATCATTTTTCTCCAGTGTTGTAAAATTTGTAATTTTGAATCCACCCTCAAGACAGCTTTTTCTGAGGGGATCTTGTGTGACCTGAGAGGAAAGTGTATCTTTGTAGTTAAATTTGTGCTCATTTCTGTCAGGAACTCTGGATAGGCTCGCTCAGCCTGGGGTTCCTGACTTTGGTAATGTAATTGACCTTCAAACCTGCACGTAACTAGGGCTACCTACACCATGGAAAGACTTCATTTTTCTACCCTCGAAATGGATGGAGATGCGTAAGACTTCTCATCGCCCATGTTGTGCATGGATCTTTTTTCTTGGTCTACTCTTGGGCCTCAGCTCTGTGCAGGGCTCTCAGTGCCAGTTCTCTGGTCAGGCCCAAAGCCCTACTTCCTGTCCCCACAATGTGGAGCCGTTGGCCTGCACTGCCCCAGGCTCTGTCAGGGCCTTTTTCCTCATGGACTTTTGGAAGTACAGCACTCCTGACTTCCCTCCAGGCTCAGCTGTGTGTTGAAAAGAAAACAGTTATATTTAATGCAGCATTTCCAGGTATATTTTTAATGGAAAATTTTCAGGTTTTGTAATTTTCTTCTTTCCAAAGGTGGAGGTGGACACCCTTCACTGCCCTTTCTACCTTGGCTAATCTGCCACTTCTGCCTCTTGCTTCCTTGACCATGGGGGTTGGGGATGCGATGCCTCAGACTCTCGCAGCAGGGCATCGTGTGAGAAGCAGAGTGGGCTTCCTGTCCCCACGCTGTGTGCCCAGCTGCCTGGGTCAGAGCAGGGCCCCCGCTGAGCGCCACTCCTGCCTGCGTCCTCCCTCTCGCTCATGCTGTCAGCCTTCTCTCTTCAGCAGGAGTTAGCTTGGCCAATGATGTTGAGAATTAAGATTTGGGGTGTGGCAGGTTGCAGAGTGTGTATATACATATGGAGGGTGCATACACGCACACAAGTGTCCATGTGTGTCCATGTACGTGTCCAAGTGTGTGGTGTGTGTATGTGTATAAGGTTGGGGAAGAATCAGGGTAGCGGAAATGGGGTGCAAGAGTCTTTGGAGGGCTGAGGATGTAGCTCAGTGGCTCATTGCCTAGTATGTGTGAAGCCCTGGGCTCAGTCTCCTGCAGAGAGAGAGACTGAGAGGAACATTAGAATCAAACCATCTCTTCCACCCCCATCATTTTACGAAGGCCTGGACTCATGACCATCTTCATCCTGCCCATTAAATGCTGGCCACAGCCCAAATGGACTTCTCTGTGCGGGTCTGGGCTGGATCTTCCACACCTGGGGTGGACAAGAAGTGTAGTGCACTCCTCCCCCTTCTTGGCAGCTAAATTGGCTCAGGTTGAGGTGTTTTTCAAAATTCCCCAGAGTCTCGCTTGTGTTTATCCAGCCTGGTCCCTCCTGTCCCCATCGGCCTGCTCTGCAAAAGCCAACATTCCCAGGCACGAGCACCTGTAATCTGCGTGGCATTTGGGGAGCCCCAAAGCCAAGGAGTTCACTTAGGGCTGTGGGAGTTGGGGTGTTTTCTTTGGGGGGCCAGGGCAGCTCATCAAGGAAGCTGCCAGGAGGTCTCCCTCCAAGGGGTTCGAAGTCTTATCAGCCTGGGGTGTTCCTAGTGCCATTTCCTGCCATTGTTTCCCTCTGGTAATTAAGGGGCTGGCTGCCCTGTCCCAGAGTCCACAGTTCTCGTGGTAGGGACAGTGGTACAACTTGGGCTTTATCTCCCCCTCTGTGGGGACTCTACAGCCCCTGGGCTACTTCCCAGCCAGACAGTCCCCGCCAGCCTCAGCATTGCTGGGAGCATGGCCTAGGGGTGGTGAACCACTGTGCAGTGGCTGGGCTTCCCAAGGCTGCGGAGACATGAAGCCTCCATCTGCAAAGGTATGCTTTTTGGAAAGAGGGCCTGTGTGTGGTGGGAGGAGGATGCAGGGCCCAGCTCCCTGGCCCTGGGTGTAGGCTGGGTCTCCATCCCTGGAATAGAAGGGGCGATCCTAACGCCCCCTCCTCTGCCTCCTCCTCTGGGGATCCTGCTTTGCTTCGCACAGTGGTTGTCCCTCCTTCTACTTCTTGGGTCTTGCTGGGGGGACACTAAAAGCAAAAGCAAAAGCAGCAGAAGTCTAAGATAGTTCCTGCTCCCCAGTTTGCTCTACTCCTGGCTGCTGCAGGGAGGTGGGGATGCGTGAGGTCAGGCTGGCCGGGAAGACTGGAGGGGGCAGGCAGAGCTTCTCTCTCTGTCTTGGGCCTGGGACTGTTGTCTGAGGAAGGGTGTCTAGGGCATGGCTTACAGCGATTGTTTCTCTTGTGCCTGGCACTGGCTGGGGCATCTTTTGGGATTAGCAACCCAGTTCAGGTGAGAAATGGGAGTCAATGAGGGAACAAGCTTCGCTCCTGCTTTATGAAGATGTTTTTGCTTTCCCTGCTTTGTGCCTCAACAGTAGCACATGCCAGCAGGGTCTGTCTGGGGAGTAAGAAACAGCTTGTTTTTCTCTTGCTCCCTGCAGATGGCTCCTGCCAGGCTTGCCAGGGTGCTGCTTGCTCTGGTCCTCACCTTGCCAGGTAAGTCTCAAGGTACTTCTAGTCCTTACGCCTGCCCCTGGGCCCTGGAGCAGGCTCTTTCCAGGGCTCAGCAGATGAGTCTGGGTCTCACCATGAGGGTCTTTTCCAGGCACTGGCTGTGTCCTGTGGGGGTTCCTGACCTCTGACTCACGTGCCCCAGAGGCCAGGTGCCTGCAGCGCCTTCTCCTGTTGGGGTGCAAAAGAGAAAGTTGGCGTGGAGCTGACTGCTGTGGTGGGAGCTGAACCTGGGTGGATTATTAGTTTAGAAGGGGTTGAAGAGCATCCAGCTGAAGTTCCCATGGTGCAGATGGAGGCTAAGGGTCAGAGAGGAGAGAGACTGCTCTGAAGTACCCAGAGCCCTTGGCAGAGGTCAGCTCTCTGAGGCTGCTCCCTTCCCGCCCTCTCTGCGGTTCTGAGTTTGTGAATGGTGGCAGAGACTTCGTCCTGGGTCTGCCTCCGTGTACGCCCTGCAGCATCTGCCTGCAGTCCACAGATTGGTGTGGGGGAAGTGTACTTCTTTCACACTCTCTGCCAGAGGAAATTTACTGTTGTAGTTCTCCACCTACACACACACACACACACACACACACACACACACACACACACAGAGCTAGCACCTGGGAGTAACTAGCGCTTCGTGACCACACTGATACACACACCCTGTGATCTGTCTAGAGTTTAATCTGGTCAAGATGTACTAGTAGATTTATGTACAAAGATGCTCACTGAAATATATTTATAATTGTGAAAACTTGGAGAAAATGTTAAGAACCTAATGATGGGAGGTGATACTATATATAGATGTCAAATATGATGCAGCCACTAAAAATCAGTTATATATATATACATAAATAAATGTGTAGAGACATGGCGAATCATTTACAACCTACTGAGAAATAAACAGCGGTCGTACATGGTTTTCACAGGACAATCAGTGGGGTATGAAAATCCATAGCTGTGTAAAGACCCTAAAGTGGAACAAAAAGATAAACAGTAAAATGTTCACTCTAGTTATTGCAGAATGTTGGGTCATGGATGTTTTCACCTTGTATTTTCCTCTGTATTCTCCACATTTTTTATTATGGGCATCAGTAACATTGTAAGTCAGTAAGTAGCACCACTAAAATGAGTAGATTTCCTGAGAGCCCTGAGCCCTGGCTACTGTCTGGGGCTGAGGCAGTGGCTACAGCCCGTGGAGGGTGGGAAGTGCCCTCCAGGTCAGAGAGCTGTGGCCGGTGGCCCCGCCGTGCTGACTGGCGCGTCCCCTCCAGGGAGCTTCTGCTCAGAAGGGACTCGTGACAGGCCTTTGAGGGGCCGGTGCAGCCTCTTTGGAAGAGACTTCATCAACACCTTTGACGGGAGCATGTACAGCTTCGCAGGAGACTGCAGTTTCCTCCTGGCCGGCGACTGCCAGACACACTCCTTCTCCATTCTGGGTGAGTCCCACCTCAGGAGCTGCTCCAGGCCCGGGTGCGGGGGGGGGGGGGGCACCCGGTTCCCACGCACACCTAGCTCAGGGTCGCTGCTGGAACAGGGAGGACACTGGCTTTCTGTGATACCTGGCTTCCCTGGTTTCTCCATCAGAGCCCGGTGGATTGGAGATGTTTCTCCTTCTCCAGGGGTTGCATTCATTGCTCTGGGTCCAGGCTGGAAGCTCCAAAGCTGAAGAAAAAGGGGACCTCGCTGGCTGTGGTGACGCACGGCTGCGGTGACGCACACCTGTGATCCCACCCAGTTGCAGGCTGAGGCAGGAGGGTCACAAGTTCAAGCCCAATCTGGACAACTTAGTGAGATCTTGTCTCAAAGTAAAATAGAAAAAGGGCTGGAGATATAGCTCAGTGGTAGAGTGCTTAATCTAGCATAGGCAAGACCCTGGGGTCAGTCTCCAGCACTGCAAAAACAAACCAAACCAGAACAAACAACAAGAAAACATCTAGAAGGACCTTGGAGCATGTAGAGCTCCCTGCAGCAGAAAGGGTCACTGTTTTCTTGGAAGCATGTGGAATTCAGAATATGCAGTTTATGTTGAGCAAATCCCATGTTACCAGAAAAGTGTTGGTGCTGTGCAGTTGTCCCTGCACCTCACACAGCTCTGGGCTGTAGGGATAGGCATCCCTGCTTTACAGAGGAAGAAACAAGGCCCACGAGGTTGTATGATCGTCCTAAGGCCTGGCAGGTAATAAAAGGTGGGGCCGGATCTTAACTCCCGCCCTTCAGGTTGGAGGACATTTCCTTTGTACTAAGGAGGGAGGGCTCTTCCACGGCTGGGGTGGGGCTGGATGCACCGATGGAAAATGACAGTTTGGTGAACGACGCACTGTGGGAGTCAGTCAGCTGTGGTGTGTGAGAAGGATGGCACAGAACCCAGTCAAGGTGCCGTCCTCGGCCTTGGAGAGCTGAGGCAGCGATGGCCAGATCCATGTTGTGAAAGGAAAACTCCATGGCAGCTGTTAGAACTGGCAGGAAGGACCTTGTACTCAAGAGGGAACATGGCAGTGGGGCTTGTGCGGTGGGAAGCCCAGCTCCAAATACAGGGGAGGTGGGGTTTAGGGTCAGCAAATGGGAGTCAGAGATGGAAAGCTCCAGGAGGACTCACCAAGACAAGGGGAATCCTGCTGCATCGAGCCACGGCCAGAGCTCCTGGCTGGAGTCGGAAGAATTTGACCATATATTGAGGGTAAACTGACTCAGAGGGATCCTTGCTAAAACTCGACTAAGAAGACCACGGACAGAGGCCAAGGTTGAGACCTAATTGAAAAGAGGGCTCACAGAGCCTCACCTGAGGCTGGCCAGAGAGAGTCTTTGGCCACACCCAGGTCCTTGCGTGACACACAGGCTGCGGAGCTCCTGGCTGTTATCCCAGCAGGCCTGGTGTGGATCCACGCAGGATCCTCTCTGGCCTGCTCACTCTGGCTGGGAGCTCCGTGAGGTGACTGTGGCCATGGCAATGAGCTTCTGCTTTTCAGCTTCTCCCTCTCTGCCACCTGCCCTGGCTCTGCAGAGCAACCTATCACAGTGGGACCTCAGTGCCCCCCACTTCTTCCACCCTTCAATGAGCCCCTCGAGGGTGAAGGTCGCATCTTGCTCATCTTTGTCTCTTGGAGCTCCTGTAGCTCACTCGTGTCTCTGTTGTATTAAAGAGGAGAGGCATTCACTCGAGTGGGTGGTGTTCAAGGAGCCATGGTGTGGGAGGTTTTGGTTGGGTGGAGAGGACAGGGAGGAGGCTCCGCGCCAGGCAGTGTGCACAGTGTACAGGGGCGTGAGGCTGGAAGGAATGCATTCCTACAGGGCGGGGGTGGGGCTGGGCGGGGGTGGGGCTGGGCGTGAGCAGGCTGAGCAGCGATCCCAGCTCCACCCTGCATCAGGACTGGATTGCTGGGCTCCGCCCTGGAGGTCTGACTCAGTGGATCTGGGCCAGAGCCTGAGAGCTTCTTCAATTCTAACCATTTCCCAGCTGCTGCTGTTGGTGTAGCTGGCCAGGGGACCAAACTTTGAGAAGCACAGGGCTGGCTGGTTCCGGTGCCTGGCTCGAAAGCACAAGGTCCCGAGTTCAATCCCCAGTACCAAAAACAAAACAAAACAAAACAAAAAAACCACTTCTCTGGCCTTGAGATGGGACAGAGAAGCACAGGGCTGGGACACAGTGAGCTGTGTGGCAGGGCCACAGGGAAAGCTGAAGTGTGGGTCATGACATCCAGGAGGGCGGAGACTGGTGCTTTGATGGGGGCTCTGATGGGGGCAGAGGTGGGAGGCAGGGCTGGCTGGCAGGAGGTGAAAGGCCCATCCAGGGACAGCTCAGGGCACTATGCGTTGAGAACCAGAGCCCTGGGGTCCCCCATGCTTCCAGGAGCTGGGAATGGTTTGGGACAGCAGCTGGTGAGGAGCCCCCGAACCCTCCCTCTGGGGAGCAGAGGGCTGGAGCCTGCCAGCCTCAGGTGGCCCGGTGTTTGCGTGGCCGTCTCCCTCTGAAGAGCCATGCTGGGGAGGCTCCCCCGAGGTGGCTCTGAGGGTGTGGGCGGCTCCACCCTACGGCTTGGAGCAGAGTTTCAGGGGAGAGGGGCACTGTGGCTCCCGGGAGGGGTTACTGTCTTGCCTTTGCTCAGTTCTGCTGTGACTGTCTACCTTGGCACAGGCCAGGAAACAGGACACAGGGAAATCCTTGGGCCAGGCATGGAGTCCATATTCTGGGAGACCTGGAAACAGCCCCCTCCCTGCTGTAAACCCAGCTCCACACTCCTCCCCATTTAGGGAGCCCTCACAGACAGGGACATGCAGGTGGTGCCCATGTCTCTGGGACATCCCGCACCCCCAGAAAGCCCCCTGGACTGCTCCTGGCCTGCCCAGCCCTGGGCTCACCCTGAGCTGGCCGGGGTTCACATCCGCAGTGATCTCCCCTGCATTAGCCAGGAGTGGGAGGTGGAAGGAGCCATAGCTGCAGTTCCTCTGTCTCCTTCGCCCAGATCCCTGGGGATGTGGATGGCCTCTCAGCTCTGTTTCCTCCTGCTAAGATGCAGATTCTGTAAGGCTCAAGTCAGGCCAGCTGTTTGAAAGTGTGACGTGTGATCCAAACCCGAGTCCTGCTTCATCCCACTTTCTAGGCACGGCTGCGGAGGTCGGGCCAATGGGAATTGCATCCCATCCTGCGCCACCTGAGCAGGTTTGACTTGAGCCCTGGCCTCACTGCCACTACCTCTAGGGGTCATGGCCACACAGCTTAGTGTGCTCCACACTGGCTCGTGGCCTGCACCAGGTGCCAGATCAGATGCACTTTACTGTAGGTTGGTTTCATTTCCACCAAATGTGCTGTTGACATCAGCAAGGCAGCAGCTGTGTTCTCCTGGGGCTGGTGCTGATGCAGGAGGTGCGAGGGGGTGGGTGTTAGAGGAGGAACAACCCATAGGGGTGCGCTGGTGTTTCGGGGGGACCAGAGTCCTGGGGTCAGGGGAAGGAACCCAGAGCTTGGACCCTGTGGTTTTGGTCCACAGGGCAATGTGAACAATGACATCCTGTTTCCTCCATCCTGTCGTGCAAATAATTCGCATTCTTCTCCCTGCCGGCAGGTCTTGCTCATATCCCAGGGAAGGCGTTTGTGTCCGTCCTTGAAGCCCACCTGGTGCAGAGGTGTGCCCTTCCTTGATCCCATCCTTGGTCAGGCAGCTGCGGGGCCCAGGTCAAGGTCTTGTAGTCAGCACAGGTCTGGAAAGAGACCTGAAGAGTCCCAAATACTTTTGCTCTGTGGAGCCTGCTCTTCTTCCTAAGCTGTGGCTGCAGGACCTGGCTTGCAGGCACACGCTGGGAGAGCCAGGAGCAGCAGTAGCCTGCTGAGTCACTGCTGCAGGGCCCCGTGAGCCGCCGCTCCGGAGTGGTCAGCGGGATGTTGTGTCAGAGCACATTGCTGTTTCCCTAGGTTCCCAGAGTCCTGGCAGAGGATGGGGTGTTTGTTAGAAATGCGGATCGGAGAGCTCCATACTAAAGCCAGAGAAGGCCCTAGGTCTGCCCTGCTTCCAGCTACCTGTCTGCTTCTGAAGCTGCAGGATACCGCTGGGGAGGTGGTGGTGGTGGTGCTGGGGCTGACTGCACACTTTGGGCTCCATCACCAAGTTCGAGGCCAGGCAAGTCCTGGGGCAGCCGGGCTTGTTTGTCTCTAACCTTGGGTGACAGCCTGCAGTTACAGGAAGTGCTGACCTGGGGGTCCCCACACGTCATCTACAGCAAGGGCATGAAGTGAGTGACACTGAAGGCAGTATTACAAATCTCCCCACGTTAGTGGGTGTGAGCCAGACTCAGCTGTGTTTTCCACACTGAGCCGCAAGCCCTGGATCCTAACCAGCTTTTACAAAGATTAAATAAAGGTGTGATCAGAAAATGCAGTAGATGTTTAAATTTAAAATGATGACAGTGAAGAGCACATTAGTACCACCCCCTCGCTCTGAATGCATCAATCCCATCACTCTTGCCACTTTCTGAAGTGAATCTCCAAGTCCTGTCTCGTGAGAGTCTTTAGATGCACTGTCATGGCTGCCTGCATGTCCTGAATTGCGTGCGGGGCACTCGGCAGCAGCAGTCACTGTATTTTTGACCACTCTCTGTAAGGACATGAACAAAGACTTCTAGAACTGCTTAGATGGGATAAGTGAGTTCAGAGTGAGGGGAGGCATTCTGAGAGGCATTAATGGCAATGTGTCCTTTACTGTACTATATTTTAACATTTAAACATTCAATCTACATTTTGATCACCTCTTATAAAACAGAATAGAAAACATTAGAAAATTTCAGAGTGCATGGGACATGGTAAGGGTAAATACGGGAGGAGGAGTGTGTGTGTGTGTGTGTGTGTGTGTGTGTGTGTATACACTGGGTCAGGAAATAAATTGTGTTTTTAGTGTGATTCCTGGACACAAAGAGCTCAGGAGCCATTGTTTAGATCCAAGGTCCTGCCTGCTCACTGCCACCTGTCTGTTTCTCTGAACAGCTGACTCCAACTTCCCTGGCCTGGCTGCCATGGGTGTGGGCTGATGGCCCTCAAAGCCCCTTCGTTATCATGCATGGCCGGGACCCACAGGCTCCACACAGTTCTGTAGTTGGCCAAGGCCACAAGGCCATTTTTGCCCCTACATTGCTATTTATTTGTTTTTGAGACAGGGTCTTGCTTTGTGGTCCAGGCTGGCTTTGAGCTCATTATGTAGCCCGAGCTGGCCTTAAATCTGCAGTGATTCTCCTGCCTCGGCTTTCTGAGTGCAGGGATTTTGGTGAGCGCCACCACACCCACATCCACACTGCATCCCAAGTGTTCCCAACCCAAATCTTCCCAGCTAGCATGTCCCCAGCCACCCTTTCTGCACCCCACGAGAGAGAGAGCTTGCAGGGAGAGACCCATAGGGACTCCTTCTGGCTTCAGGGTGGGAGGCGCCTCTGGCTTGGAGGCGACTTTGTGAGACTGGGCTGAGGGGGTCATGCTGATGACAGCCAGGCTTAGTGGTCACAAGGGGCAAGGACCTCCCCACAGTTTTGTGTCCTCCTTTGCCCAGCAGGACTGCAGAGAGGCAGAGGTGACGAGACCCTCACCTGGGCCTCTGGTCGCTGGTCACTCAGGCTGGTGGGTCGTGGTCAGGGTGTCGGCCCAGAGGAAGCCCAAGAAGGCACTTGATCTTGGCATATTGCAAATGCCGGGCGACCCAGAAGGCCCTGGGGGAGGGACTGCAAACTGGAGTCCGTTGCCCGGCTGTTCTTTGTTTGGTTTCCTATTTTATTACGGACAATTTCAAAGTACAGAAAAGTTGAAAGAATACAAATATGACATTCAACATTCCAGCATTCTGTGCTTTCTTCTATTTACCCTATCACTTATCTCTCCAGTTGTTTGTCTTTCTTTGGTGTCTTAGTCACCTTCCTGTCAACCAGGACAGGATACCCAACACCCACAACTTAAAAGGGGAGAGGTTTGTTTTGGTTCACAGTTTCAGTCTGTGGTCAGCTGGCTCCAAGGTGGAAGCAAGATGGTGGAGGGGCCTGGCGGAGGAAAAGGTGCTCAATCCATGGTGGCCAGGAGGAGAGAGAGGAGGAGGAACCAGGAAGAGAGTGAAGCCTTCCAGCTCACACCCCAAGGACCCACCTCCAACCCAGCCCCACCTCCTAGAGCACATTCAGTTATGAGCTCATCCATGGATGAATCCAGTGAGGAGTGCAGCACCCCCTTGATTCAATCACCTTCCGAACACTGAGAAATTCAGGGGTGGGGTGGGACATTCTAGCTCTAAACCATAACACACAGCTAATTTCCTGCTGTCGGAAAGTTTGTTCTACTTCTGAAGATTTGTTTGCTGCAAGAACTGTTGTCAAGGACAGTGAAGAACACATCAGACTTTCATTAAAAATCTCATAGACTGTTTTCTATTCAAGAATCAGGTAGCACTTCATTCTGTAAAGTGGAATGAGTATTCTGATGGGCTGAACAGAGGAGGTTGGTTTTATGGAGAAGGGATGAGGAAGTAGAAGCAGAACTAGAGGACAGAAAGTAGGCGGGGCTGGAGGTCTAGCTCAGTGGTAGAGACCTGTGCAGCACACAAGGCCCTGCTGGTTCCACCCCCAGGCAAACACCAGCTCCTGGAGTCAGCTCTTCCTAAATTGCTTTCCTAGTAAGGATGTAAGCAGCTTCAATTGGCCCATTTGGGGATTTGGGCTCTGTCTCTCATTCAAGTAACTATCCTAGTTTTGGCTTGGTCATGTGGAACTTTAGCATAAGTGACTCCATTTTGGTTTGCTCTGTTTGGGCCTAGTACAGGAACTCAGCCCAATCCAATGGCCTCGTGTAATTTTTTTTTTAATATACAGGACAAAATTCCTTCACCTTGCTTGGCATCTCTCTTTTCCCGTGGCAGCACTGGTGTGGAACTCTGCAGAATGTGGTTTGTGGGACTCCTCCTCTGCCTGGCCTGAAGTGAGGAGGCCGCTCCCTAGTTTGGGTTATCAGAGTTCCTGGCCATGGCTGCCATGCCAAGCCGACAGACAAGTTCCCAGGTGGTCTGGACTTGATTCCACAGGCACCCTTTCCCCTCCTTTCTGAGGAGCTGGAGCCCACACTCCCCACACCTTTTAGGAGGAGATGTATTTCCTCATTTCCCTGCATCCTGTGCCCCGTTCCTTCAGGACCCCCAAGGTACTGTGACCCTACTTGACCTTGGTCTTCACTGGCTGCTCCCCGTCCCCCCTTTCTTCATCAATTTCCAAGTCTTTGAGGCTTGAGACTCAGACTGTACCTTTCTGGCTCCATCCTCGCCTATGGCCAATCCACTATCTCTGCATACCAAGAACGCAGCCCAAGCAGCACTTACTGGAGACGGCTGTGGTTAGTCTTGGTAATGTTGTTGAAAATGTCCGCCAAGTTTCCCCTTTCATGCCAGCTGCCAGCACACTTGCCTCTGTGTTTGCCCCTCACCACAGGACCATGAACAGACACTATTTTGTCACGTGTTTGACCATTCAAATATCTCAGAGACAAAGGGAACACTGATCATTTATTGAGTCCTTATTAAAGTCCCTGCACTGTGGGAAAGACATTACTGTGTGGTCTCTAACTTCTCCCAGAGAATCAAATGCAGAGAAGTGAGTCATGGATCTACATTTCTATTTTGAACAAAGAGCTCAGGGATTCTGATTTAGGTGTCCAAAGATTTCCCATCCATCTATCTATCATCTATTTATCTATCTATTGTCTATCTATCTATCTATCATCTATCTATTTGTGGTGCTGAAGATTGAACCCAGGGCCCTGCCCATGCCAGGCAAGGGGTCTGTCACAAAGCTACACCTCCAGCCCCTAAGATAACATTTTAAGTAACACTATGCTAGTGTACCTGTGGTAATAACTTCTGTTTGCTGTTTTACAATGTATTCAGTCGCTACGTGCTTGTCTACCATCTATACCTAGACTGGAAACACTCAGAAGGAAGTGATCATGTTCTCACATTTTTCTGTTGTGAAATGTAAGAGCCCTTGAAAGGCTGGGTATCCAGAAGGCACTCATATAAGTCCGTTGAGAGGAACAAGAAGATGAATGAGCAAAGGAGATATTTAGAGAGATTTCTGTTGTCCACTTATGAAGTCTTTTGGGGGAGTTTTCCATGAGATTTTATGAGTAACAGTACTACTGACTCTCTCCTTTCAGGGATCTTCCAACATGGTGAGAGAGTTGGCCTCTCCGTGTACCTTGGGGAATTCTTCGACATCCATTTGTTTGTCAATGGCACAGCGGTGCAGGGGGACCAGGGGTAAGTTAGAAACCCAGAATGCCGAATCAGAAAGGACCCTGGGGACCCCTGCCCACCTGTTTCAGATGGAGAAGCTGGGGCCCAGAGAGCAGAAGTAAATGTGCCAGAGGAAGTGAAGCAGGGCAGTGTGGGAGTCAGGTTTCCTGGTCGTGGGGTCTAGAACCTCTGTCACTTTGGGCCAGGGTCAGAACCCTGTAACATGGGGTTGTGTTGGAAGGTGGAGAAATATCCTAGAAGTGTACGAGAAGCCCAGTGCTGAGCCTGTCCTCTGCCCTCCAGAATCTCCATGCCCTATGCCTCCAGAGGGCTGTATCTGGAAACCGAGGCTGGGTTCTACAAGCTGTCCAGTGAGGCCTATGGCTTTGTGGCTAGGATTGACAACAGTGGGAACTTTCAAGTCCTGCTGTCAGACAGATACTTCAACAAGACCTGTGGGCTGTGTGGCGATTTCAACATTTTTTCTGAAGATGACTTTAGGACCCAAGAAGGTAAGATTTTCTGGGATACCATTTCCCTAACGTGTAGTTTTGCTTTTAGTTTCCGTTTCATAGACCTTCACTAATACTCCTTCCCTGGCATTTAAGTCTTGTCATGACCTGGCTTCGATGTATTTCAACAGCCTCATGCCTTAGCCTTCACCTAAACGCCTAGGCCTCTGGCCAGCCCACACCTGGACCTCTCAGACTTGACTCTCTCAACTTTCAATCCCCTGCAGCAACTGTCTTGCTTATTGTTTCCAGTGTCCCACGGTATTAGACTGAGCTGCCTTTAAAGGTGAGTTTTTCAGTCCAGAGTCACGAATCTTGTAAGTGTAAATGAGCTCAGACCCTTCAGGCTGGGCCCACTCGGGAGCTCTGTCTCAGAGAAGACTCTTCCCCCCTCTAAACTGGAGCTCATGGAGGTCAAAGAAACACACTTTTTGTCTCTCTTTTCTCAGTGGGTTTTCTCTCATCACCTTTGTGTGGGGAGCGTCATCCCTCAGGGTCACAGCTTCCTCCTGAGGCTCCAGGAGCCTGTCCGTCTCAGCAGGGCTATTCCAGCCCACGCCTGGGAAGGAGAGATGGCATCCTCTCTGCACCCTGAAGTCATAGCACTTCCAGTTTTTGTTTTTCTCCATTTTTTTCTCTTTGCTTTCCTTGTCTTTTTCTCCTCTTTTCTTTGTCTCTTGGAATTCCCTCTACTTTTTTTGTGAGGTTATTCATGGATTCAACAGGATATTTGTCTGATGTAATGGAATACTTTTTGGATTTTTCTAATCTGTTATATTGCTAGAAATGGGGGTCCTAGCTCTAAAATACTTTTCTTTTTTTGGGGTACCGGGGATTGAACTCAGGACCTTGTACTTGCGAGGCAGGTGGCAGAACCACTGAGCTAAATCTCCGGCCCTCTAAAAAACTAAAAATGGACCTAGACCATGAGGTAGAAGATGGTATTTGTTGGCAACAAAACAAACAAAACACAAAAACCAAAAAACACCAAAACAAAACAAACAAAAAACATACAAGGTGCTGGTGGTATCTGGGAAATCATCTCCAAAGGATTATGTAGTATAGTTTAATTTTCTTTGGTTAATAAAAGCTCAACTGTTTGTTTCCAAACCATTAATTGTGCTCCTGATTTTGGAATCTGCCCAGTTTGACTTTGACCCTAGCTCTTGGGGAGTTTTCTCTAAAGGAGAATACTTATAACCCTATCTTAGGCAGCCTAATGGCCATAGGGTTTGGCCATAAAGTTTTACTCGGGTGAGGTCAGGGCTGGGAGGACCTTCAAGGTTGTCTGGTCTGGCCCCTTCCTCCCAAGGGCCATAGGTTCCCCAGAGCTCACCACCTCTTCTTTACAACAGTTTATTAGGAAGCATCTGAGCCTCTGCCATGGAGTGGCCGGGAGCCAGACTCCTGTCACAGGGCCCCACACATGGTGGACTCCCCACAGATTTCACCTCTTGTCCATTTGGCTTCTCCCATGTATTAGTTTTTTGTGGGTGCCAAAAGTCACCATCATTTTAGTGGCTTAAAACCACAGAAAGTTACTCTCTGATAATTCTGGAGGCCAGAAGTCCACTGCTCCTGTGAGCTCTAGGGGAGGAGCTGCCCCGCTTCCTCCAGCCTCTGTGGTGACCTCTGACCTGTGACCACATCACTGCACTCTGTCCACTTTACCTTTTCCTCTGTCAATGCGATCTTCCCTCGCCTGTCACGTTCAACATATGTGTGGCTGTATCTAGGGCCCACCCAAGTAGCCCCAAAGAAGCTCCTCCTCCTAAGACCCTTAGCCCAATCACATAAGACAGTATGTACAGGATACTAAGAAGTGAGTACATCCGTGAAGGGGAGATTCTTTTTTTCCCTGTCAAACCACAGACATTAATTGACTATAGTTCTAAGACCTCACTTTTCTTTTTTCCCTAACATAGTTTATTTCCCATTCCCAGTGCATTATTTGACCTTAAACCATGCTTCACTCTTCCAGGCCTGGCTCTGCAAAGAACGCTCATGTTAATACTGCAAGGCAGCAGCCCCACACTACTACCTGTGCAATGATGACTCACCAGGGTTATCACTGTGGGTAGCTGACAGCAGCATAAATGCTGCAAGCACCAAAGCACAGATGCTGTGAAAGTCTGGAGGATGGAGTGACTGAGGGCTCAGGTCCCATGTCACATTCTTACCTTCACTCCAGAAAAAAGTTTTGAGCATTCACAACGCACTGTGTAAGAATGTAGAGATAAGAGACACAGCCCATGCCCTTTGCTCAGAAGCTCACAGTTGAATAGACGATCAATAGAAGTCGGAAGAACACTAACACAAAGGGAAGTGAGAGTTATGGCACAGGGAAGCCTTAGCGGCATGAGGAGCACAGAGAAGGTGCACACCCAGCCAGGCTTGGTGGAGAAGAGAGCAGAGCTGGTGCAGAAGCACTCCTAGGAGGAACCATTCACTCATCCCCAAGCACGAGTGAAGACAGTCAAGGCAACAGGAGGAAGGGGCAGCTCAGACAGAGGGAGAAGGGTTTGCAGAGGCATGAGAAGTGACATTGTGTGGCATCTTCCTCATCAACTTTCATATCATCTCTCATTGCGTCCATCCATCCATCCATTCATCCATCTGTGCATCCATCCATGTATCCATCCATCCATCCTTCCATGCATGCATCCATCCATCCATCCATCCACCCACCCATTCATTCATTCCTTACTGAGCTCCAATGCCCATGTCCTGTGGTGCCATGCTGAGCACTGTACAAAAGGTCTTCCTCATCCCAAATGCCTACAGTCTATTCGAGTAGAAGTTTCCTTCAGGTAGCAACAGACCTAGAGCTTCCACTCAGCATAGCTGAAGTATCATTTTTCAAACACTTCCTCAGGGACCTTGACCTCAGACCCGTATGACTTTGCCAATTCCTGGGCCCTGAGCAGTGGGAAACAGCGGTGCCAACGGGCGTCCCCTCCCAGCAGCCCCTGCAACAGCTCCTCCTGGGAAATGCAGGAGGTGAGTACAGCCTGGCTGCCTGCAGTCAGGGTGGTGTGTGACTCCTAGAGGTAGCAGCAGGAGGACTTGGCTTCAACCCTTCCTCTAGGGCAGGGCTGGACTTGGCTGTGGGTCCCTCTGGCTGCTTCGTGTGGGGTTCCCACAGGTCCTTGTCCTCTGGAAACCAACTCTAAGTCAATACTTTTCTGTGCCTGGAGCTCTTAAATGGTTCCTGGCTAATGAATATCATGTCTCAGTCTATTTGTGCTGCTGTAACAAAATGTCTGGAACTGGGTAATTGAAATTTATCATAGCTCTGGAGCCTGGGAGGTTCAAGATCAAGGTGCCCATATTCAGTGTCCATAAGGGCTTTCCCACCATGGCCTTACCTGGTGGAGGGGCAGTAAAAGGCTGCTAGAGTTACCCACCTTCAGTTGTTTCTCTGCGGGAGTTGGGCTCCACATGGTTCTTAAGGTTCCTCTCAGTTCTGAACAACTCCTTATTGCATGTTCCTGTGGATTATACAGTCAGTACCTCCTAGGTCTTGGGAAACACTCAGGGGAGTAATGAATGCAAGTTAAGTGGTGTTGTCACCAGCTGGGTCTCAGGGTCCCTGAGGCTGAAATATGGAACTTAACCCACTGTCTTGCAGCAGGTTCACTGATTCCTGTCACAGAAAAAAAATTTTCAGGATGCCTCGGTGGGAGGCGTGAGAAAGGTTTCTTAGAGTTTTAGGATGCATTCCAGAGCAAAGTGCAGCACTCAGAGGTGAGGAGCATGACGGTTTGGACCTGGGAACATTTATGCCTCTGTTGTACGGGTGGAAAAGCCTGGGAGAAGGTGCCCCACCCCACCCCCAGAAAGGTATCAGCCATTCTACAGATATGGGCATTTTAAAAAAATAGGTAATTTGAATATCCTTTGGTTTGCTCAGTCTGGTCCCTTATCTTGGGATCAGGCACGTGCTCTTTAGTTTCTCAAGCCAATCTGTGGACTTTCAGTATTCCTGAGGAATTCAGGGGGTGCTGGATCTGGTATGGAAGGAGTCTGAATTTAATCAAAGGAATGCTGAAGTGTGTAGTCTTAGGTAACTTGGGCTGGTCCTGGAAGTTGCAATCTTAAATGTACAATTTTTAGTTACGATCTCCTTGTCTCTTTGTTCCCATCTTTCATTTCTTCCATCCTGTCTCAGTGCTACCTAGGCATGGCTGTGACCTCAGTGAGAACCCAGGGACCTTCAACTGCAGACTTTGGGTTTACCCAGATCTGCACCTAGGTAGAGAAGCCAGCCCTCTCCTACTCCAGACACAAGGAGAGCCCTGTCCACACTCGCAGACCCACCGGAGCACAAGGAGGCTGCATTATTGGCTGGTTACTCACTTCTTTATTTTCATGAAACAAACCGAACTCTGGTCCGGAAGGGATCCTGGGCTGCTGCTCAATCCGGCGCCTAGATTGTGAACACAGATGGTTTCCAACTTGTCAACAAACACATTCCAAGAGACGTTTTTGCTCGGTTTCCAGTAATTCAGTGGTACCGGGTCCCCTGGCTGGTTCCCAAACACCTGTGTCCCCGGGAACACAGCCGGTACTAACAAGGCCGACTGGGTTCCAGCACCGAGCCAGGTGCTGTTGGGTGGGAGGGATAGGTCCTCTTCCTTCCACTTGGAAATGCCTGACGCTTGCCCCTGAGAGACCCCTGAGTTTCCCTCGCCCCCGGGCTTGGCACTGGGTTGGGTCAGGCAAGGTATTGCTTGTAACTCTGGGCAAGACACACACCTTCTCCAAGGCCCGGCTTCCACGCACGTGAAACAGGCAGAGGAGCAGCCCCTGCCAGGGCTGCTGAGAGGAAAGGAGAGAAGTAGCTTGTGCAGAGTGCCTGCTAGAGGCGCGCGCCATCACTACTGAGATGAGAGACTCTTGGTGTTCTCCTGTCCCGTGTGTGCCCTGGAGCGCCCAGACTTTGAGGGGCATGGGGAGCAGTAGCTCCGGAATCACTCTTCTCCTCCCCTTCTTCCGACTGTAATGCATTCCTTTTGGGTAGCTGAGCACAGCTTAGGTTAGAAGGAAGCAAGGAGCCTGGCAGAACCCAGCCTGTCCTAGAGCTGCTTTTTCAGCCAGATGAATTTCAGATTGATCACACTCCTGTGCTCGAGGAGGGGGCTGTTAGAATTTCTTTCTTTTGTCTCCAAGTTTACAATTCTGTAGTTGATCTCTGAGTCTCCCTCTTCAATGTAGGCGGGGGTGAGGTGAAAAGGTCCTCGAGAGCCTATCACATTTGTCTTAATTTATTTTGCAAACAGGCAGTGGAGTAAGGGAGTGGCTGATGTCCTCCACCCTCAGAGTACAAAGCACTCAGTGCATTTACCTTAGGAAATGGGAGGGGAAGGAAGACATCCTCAAACCAAGAGCCTGATGGGGGAGGGGGGGAGGAGCCTGGGTTCTTCATTTCCTGGAGACGGAGGAGAGGGGAGGAGCCTTGCTTGCCTCCCGAGGAGGCAGCTTTTTGAGGCTCCAGCTGTATCCTTGCTACTCACTTTGTTTCTTGAGTGCATTAAAGTCCTTCCTAACCAGTGTCCTGGGAGCAGCTTAAGAAATTGGGTGGCTAGTTCTAATGCTGGGCCGAGGCGCTGAATACACCTGACCTCCCAGAGGCACAAGCCTCTTCAAGCTCAGAACTCTCCGCTTCAGGTTGTTAACCTTAGAAAACAGGGTTGCTTCGTCCTCAGCCAATCATATTGAGTTTGCCACCCCTGGGGCTCTCTCATTGGGTGGGAAGCACAATCCGCGTCCCCTGGGAGACGATTCAGGTGGTCTTTTGAACGGCTCACAGTTTGTCTCCCCACTGGGCCCCAGATTCAGAAGTTGGGGCTGGTAAATGAGGCATCCTTTATTAACTTTGTGGTCTTGGGTCCGAGTGTTCGGGGCTGGGGTTTCTAGGGGAGGAACCTGCACCAACCTTGTCTATTCTCCCATTTCTCCGGTGTTTCCCATCTTTCCAAGGCCTAGCAGGAATGCAGCTCATCCGAGGAGCTATTATTTACACCTAGGGAATGAATGTTTCCTTGTTGTGCCAACAAAGTCCAGCGCCTCTCTGCTGGGATTGTTTGATTGCATGCAAATTTGTGGTTTTTTCAGCTTTTCCAACTGAGGGCAGAATTGCTGGAGTCTGGATCCGCAAGCCACAAATAATTGATGTTGATTTGCAGATGACTGCTACACAATGCATATTTCAGGAAGAAAGATCCTTAGGCAGTTTTTTCTTTCTTTTAAAAAATTTTGGTCTGGGAAACGTGGGGGCGGGGCTGAGCCTCATAAAACGACTGTGGCTTTGTCCTGCTGCTCTGCCTGTGCTCTTGCTGATTGGGAAAAGGGGAGCTTTAGGCTTTGCTACCACTTGCTGGGGATACCACAGTAAACACCCTAACTGCACGCAGTGTGCAGATGTGTTTAGTGTCCCCCACGCAAACCAGAGTCTCTTGGTGTTTTGCCACTCAGGACACAAGTCTGTCTACCACCTTCGCTGCTGCCATCAGAATGAACATGAAGACGTTTTTGCTTCTAGACCCAGAGTTCTTTCCATATGCTTCCTAGGCGTTGGTCCTCAAGATAACCTGTCTTTGTTGAGAAAACTGAGTCCCCGAGTTACTCCTTGGGCTATCAGTGACCCATCAGCAGGAGGAACTTTCTTTCATTAATGTCAGGAGTCTTGGGCTCATAAACACGCAGAGGTGGCTGTACTTCTAGAAGATACCTGGTTCTACTTCCTCCCCACACTTTCAGCAAACCATGACTGGATAGTCAGGCTATGCTATGACTGTAGCTTTGTCAGGTTCTCGAAACACCCTTGGTAGGGTCTTTCCAGGCAGCCTGTGGGGCTCAGCCCTAGGAGTCCTCCCTGTCCCTGATAAATCCCTTCTTTCACTTTGCTCCCATTTGAAGCAGAAGCTCTGTCTTTCCCTCAGTGTCTCTGAATACTGAAGAAGCAAGGTTCTTTCCTCCGGTTGCTCCAGGCCTGAGGCACTCATCCATCCGTACTCCCATCAGTCGCCTAGCATCCCCAGATTTCCCGTTTTCTTCTGATCCCTGAGTTTGGTGTTAGGTGAATGCAGTCACTGTTTTCTTTTACTATTTCCATCTTTATGCTTTTTGCAATGCTCCCCTCGCCCCTTACCCTGTCCCTCTTGTGTGAGACAGCATGCCATTCACCTGTTATTCCTCTTGTTCCAGGAAATCACCTGTCCCATGAGCTAATATTTGTAACACTGCTGTTGACTTTGAATAATCATAACGTGTCTCCTCAATAGCCCGAAGAGGTACATAAAATAGCCATTCTGTTGGGGACAAAGCAGTTCACTCTGCATGTCCTCATTATACAATATTTGCAAAGGATGTACCCAGCACTTCCTAGTTTTTGTGCTCAGAGTGGAGCTAGAAGGGGACTCACAGGCAAGGAGGAGGCAATTCCAGCATGTAGATTTGGCTGTCTAGGTCCACCCCGGGCATCTCTGCCTCTTCCATTCACTTCATTCGGTGCTCTGGTCTGGTAGAGACTTGTCTCAGCAATTGGGAAGGATTTTGTTATATTCCTTTGCTTGGTAGAATACTTGGGACTCAGGGAGAGAGTTGTGGGGGAAGACTGTCCCAAGGAAGTCAGTAAATCTCAAGCAAAGCCCCTTGGGATCCAGGATCCCTGAGGAATTGGTTGTCCTGACAGTGCCATGGCCTGGTTTGACAGGCCCAATGGTACTTAGCCTGGCAGCGGGGTTTGGACACAAGGACGGCCCTGCTTCTCTCCTGTTGCAAAGTGAGCATGCTCTCTCAGCTCTCTCTGAGTCACTGCAGTTTACTAAGAAACGAAATCCAGAGTGCGGTCCCTGGGTTGACTCATTTCTCTGGGTCCTTGTGTAAGTCACTTCCCTGGTGTGTGTCTCAGCCTTCCCTCCCTGAGGGAAACAGCTCTCCTGAGCACCCCAGTGGATGAGTACCCTAGGGTGAATTTTCTCACCTGATTGCAGTGT